TGCTGATCTGTGGCATGTATTATCCTGTAAACGATTGTGTGCCTATTTGCCTTAATTTGTTTTAAATGTGTCTATTTGTCTTAATTTGCTTTTGATTACTGCAATTCAATATTAATATGAAATCAATACAGATTTATTGTTATGATATGGTACAGAATGGGGTATGCCATTAGTTAGACCTATTTTTAATAGCAACTCTCAAGCAACCAGAAACTACATTTATCCAGAATCTACCAAACCCCGTGGATGCTGGATAACGGGGAGTTTACTATACTTACTACACACCCTAATGCTTAACCCTTAAAATGAACTAAACTTATAAGTTCTAAACCAATGTCAAACGTAAATCTAAACTCCAGACCTAAATATAGATTCAAAACCATCTTCCGAGACCCCTGCTGTACCATATGTGTAGGATTAAAAAGCTAACATTTGATTCTGAGCGCATCTTCCCACCATAACAGTACCCCCTTGGTAATGTGCCACAAGTGCATGCCCAGGGACTCCGTTTCCCACCATTTGTGTCTAATGTGTATTATGCAGAGAGACCTTTCCAGGCAATCCATTGTGCATGCAGAGAAAAACTACAAGGGAGCAGTATTTAGACTGTTCTGGTGCTACTCTGATGGACATCATCTACTATCAGTTTAATTAATAATGCAACATCAAAGGGACTGTTGACTGACAGTTCTGAAGTTGATTTCTCACAGAAGATGATCTCATTTTAAAAAATGACACACAATTTCAAGGCTAATGGTAACTTTTTGCCCCATTTATTAAATGGGCCTCAAAATTCAGACTAAATGGTTAAGTTCTACTAACTTCAACTAAATTGACCCTTAACCTCCCTGGCGGTAATCCCAAGTGTGGCTTGGGGCTAATTTTCAGTACCAAAAGCAGCAACCCCGAGCCACATTCGGGATTACACTGTAGCGTCACTTACCTTGTCCCTACAAGCCCTGCTGTGTCCTCCGGCCGATGCCAGCATCAGTCTTCCGGGTTACTTCCCTGCGAGCGCTGATGTCGCAAGTGGGCAGGACCAGCGGGAAATTCAAAAGTAAAAAATAGAAAAAAAAGAGAAAATACTGACATAATCAGACCGCCAGGGAGGATAAACATAACTCCTACCCCCTTTGCGCATTACTTTAGTTTGGGCCTTTAACTAGTTGACCCCCAAAAACTCATCAATCACATTGATACTTGCCTAATCTGGGCTAATACCTTGCCAAGACTATTTGTGCCCAGACATCACTGTCTCCTGCTGATTTATACAAGAGCTGAAGCTGCAGTACCTACAGTTACAATGCATCTATTATGTATATATTTGCAAATGGGTAATATTAACTTGTAACAAGGTGATTTCAAAACTAAGTAACACTGTAGATAGCTAGTGTGTAATCTATGGTACTATAGCCTCTTTGATGCACTACTATGGAAGTACTGATTTTATAAAAAGTTATTTTCATTGTGCTATGAATTATGCATGTCCCTTCCCCATGCAAGTGCTTTTGCTTTTAGGGGGCTACATCAATAGACAGGCAAACATTGTAACTGTAACATTTCGCACTGTAGAGTACCTGCTAGCCATCTGCAACCTTATTCTGTTTTTATTACCATGTTACCTTATTCCCGCCACAGGTGTATGGCAGAAATTGGACAATGTTTTCATCATATTATAGATGAACAATCTACTTTTTTTTTATCATATTAAGGACATGCATGCCCATTTCACATGACAGTTCATGTCTATGCACTCCAGAGACATTCCCAGCACCAACATTATCATTATCTTATCATCATTTTTAAAAGACAAGTACACGTCCCTCAGTGCAGAACTATCACCAGGCTGTGTTCTTTGAATATGGATAAAATGGAGTGCAGGCTCTGGTGGCCTAGGTGTTTTTTTTTTTAATGAAAAACTGAGCTTTACAAACATTGAGTTATATCTTATTTTGGGTTATTGAAGCTAAGGTCAAGGCATTTTGAGGGGTTTGCTTGAAGTGCATTTATTTCCATTAGCAGACTATTGCTTCTAGTCTTCGTTCCCCCAGTGTCAGCTAAAGGGGGCCCTTTGCATGTGGTTCTGACCTCTGCAACCGCCAAACAATCAGTCTGATGGAGAATGCTGAGCCATTGATTGGTAGTCTCTTATATGGCGGCCCAAACGTATACTGCAACATTCAGGCCATGGCTGCATATCCAGTTCAATCACTTCCCCCTCTCAACCACAAGGGTAGTCACACCATGGGCAGGAATGCCACTTAAACAACATGGATGCCGTTCGGTGCCCAGACTAAAGTCTTTGTAGCCAGCTCAGTCCCAGGATAGAAGCTTTGACTAAATACCTCCTAAAGTAAAATTTAAAGAATGACATTGAACTACAGTCTGTACAATAATATTTACTTGGAAAAAAAGCTTTATTACATTTTTCAAATATTTAATATAAAATTTGATAACAATGCAACTGAATATCTGATGCATATATCTGAATATAATACATACCCTTACAGAGAAAAAAAACAACAAGTTATTCAATATTTACATCAGGAAGATACATTTACAATATAGAATGCGACATCGTAGACTGTTTAGATTACGTTAAAAAAATAATTTATTTCTTCCTCTTACACAGCAGTTTAAATTGTGTAATCTCTCATGTAAAGACAAATATTCCCTGTTTTAAATAATGAAAAAAAATAACAACTCAGATTTTGTTACCAACATATGCAACTAAAGCTAATTATGCTGAAATCATAACATTGGGAAAGTCTGCTATAATGGAAAGACGTTTAATCAGATGGCTCAGATAAGCCAAGTGAGCAACAGTTTACTGTATATATAAATATATAAAAGGGACGCAATGCTAAGCACAACTTGTTATATTTCAGTACTACAGACATTCAAGTATCTTCTCTGGAGGTCAGCAGTAGGCAACCTGCAGCTTTTCATTTAGTATAGTGCCTAGCCTACTGGCTGGAAGGTGTTAAGAAATATACACAAATAGGGATATTTGCCTAATACAATAATTTAAACAGTAATAATATCAGTATAAGGCCAATTCCAGACATCTTCTTAGTTAACATCTCTCCTCTGCCTGAAATTAAACCCTTTGCAGCTAAATTAAACAAATGTCTCACACCATCACCTAAACAGGATACATCATCAAGCTGTGCGCTTCCCATGGTCCAGTGTTTGTGGGAAAGGCTGCAGTGGAGAGAGAGAATTGCCTGGATCACTTTAAGGGCCATTCATAATCATATCAGCAGCTATAGCAGGAAAGTCAGGCACACAAGATAAAAGCCAGATAAAAGCCAGGATGTGAATACATCCATTCAGAACATAGGTTATGCCTTCTAAACAAGATGAATGCTAAATGTTTATGCGTAATCTTATGCTGAACTAGAGGCATTTTAACAACACTGTTCTATATGTACATGGGGGAGCCATATTTGCTCATTACATATACTGGTTCTGCTTCTGACTGATAATGTCTATCTGAGTGAAAACATTAGAATCTCTGCAGTTTATAATAATGTCACATGCCCACACTGTAAGTGACATGATGAACAGATCACTGCAGTGTATGTTATTCCCAGCACTTTTTTAAAATAAAAAAATACATTATTTGGCAATGCCAAAGTGCCCTATTGATTCATGTGAACTCTGATTTGAAATGGTGATGGTCTATTTCAAGGTCCTTTCCCACCTGTATCAATATCATAAAATACCGTGTTCTTCAAGGGAGCAGGAAAAACAATCTTCAACAATTCTGGTGACACAGTGACCCAGCTATGGATAGCCATAAAATTAAACTCCAGACAACAATATATTTAAGTTTTGGATGCATGGAAAAGGGATAGAACATAGCCTGTGTGAAGCTTTCCTTTTCCTAAATGTATCCCCATCGGGGAAATTATGTGACATTACCTTTTGAGACACATGAGTTGTGACAATGTATGTAAAGCTGCACTCAACAGCCAGGACCTTGATGTAAAAAAGTTTATTTGAAGGAATCTAAAATGTTACAAGCATAACAAGATTCACATGTTTCGCCAAAAAGGCTTAATCATAGATGAGTTGAGTGCGGCTTTACATACATTGGATTACTAGTGGCAGCCGTGGCGTGCCTCTGTTGGCCAGCAACCGGCTTTTTGGATAGGACCAATGAGTTTGGGCATACAAATATGAGTGGTGTCTTTTTCATAAACATTTCTACAGCAGTTGTAACAGTTGTCAGTTGACAGTTCTTACCCTTTCCCACTATCATAAAAGGTTTTGGCTGAAATTCCACATTAGGTTTGAAGAACAAATGCATCCGGTAACTTCAAGTCATTTAAGAAAAGTCTACATGTTCCACTTATTCCTCATTGTTGACTGGTGCACTCACATAAAAGGGTCACTTCTCAAAGCCATAGTAGCTATTTTAACTGTGTTTGCTGTTTGATCACCACAATATTTCATGTGCAATTCACGTGTATTAATATCACATAGGTGTGCTTTTGTTTTTGCATTAAACAGCTGTGTAACAATTGCAAGCTTCAACTTCTCATGAAAGTTTATCTGCACCTCAAAAGATTTCTTGATGTACTCAATAAACATCTCATAGATCACGGTAAACAGTAAAATGCTGTGATTTTAGTAAACTGGCTTCTACATACAAACTTACTACACTAAGTTAGAATAACATGAATGCAGTAAATCTGTCTGAACCACACTATAAATCCTTTAGTGAGCTGAAAAGCATTTCGTCGTAAAATTGAGCGTAATAGTAATACATGAGAATGAAAATACTGCATGGGTTAAGCTTTTGTAAAGTGACCCCAAAGTGTATGAAAAAAATAATCTTTAGAAAAAGAACTAAATACCAAGTATGGTAACCTATATAGATGAAGAGTTACAGGTTGCTTTGGTTTACACAAGATACTTATAACAATTAACTCTGAACTGTCAATCTATACTGACCCTGGTTCATCTGAGAGATCAAAAGCGAATTATTGGGGTCATTCATTAATGATCATCTTCAGTAGTTGCTTGTCCACCTAATTATTCTCTTCTACATACTGGTAGTAACTACACAATTTCAGAGCTACCTAGATTTAAACAGAAACACCTGCTGTCATTACTTTTACAGTAAAGAGTTCTATCACAAGTCTGATAAAAAGCTGCAAAACTGGCGCACAATGACATCTTCACACACAAGGGCACATCACGGATGTAACTAAAGTTCAAGTTCGTTGGCCTTGCAAAATGTCCTTTTTCTATGGAATACTTCAAATGTCTGCCATGCTGCAGCACGTCCACTAAACGTCTCTAGCAATGAGCATAGTCAAGTAGATTTGATTCCTTCAAAGGCACAGAACTTCCACCTCTTCTCCAGTGTTGCTCCTACACCAGTGAATTCTTGTTTAAACATTCTCGGTAACCTCGTCAATAATGTTTCAATTTCATTTGCTGAAATCTACAGGATAGATAAAAAAAAGCAAAATGTATGAACATTCTTTCAAAATTAAACAAATAAGGCTCTTTTAAGGACATGGAGTGGATTAAATGGTATTGCCGAACACCAAGCAGAAGCAATGTCACAGATTAAGAGATATAAGTGATTGGAGCTTAATTAATTAATGCCCCGCCACTGCTGCTCAGAAGTATCATTGTACCAACAACAATTCTACTTTTTAGAAGGATCAGTCCACCAAAAACTGATCATTTTGGTAGATGCCGAAAGGTTTGTGAACCAAGCTGAAGAATATGGAGTGAAAATCTTGTTATTCAGTTCTGGCCATTTGTAGGGCTAATACATAATAATAATGATAATAATAATAATACTACAAACAAAACCTCTCTCTCCCTACACAGAATTGTGAGCTATTCCTAATAGCTGCAACAAACACTACTGATAAGACGGCTTTGAGTCCACCCTTTTTTTTTTTTTTTAAAGAAATGGGGCTGGGTTATACATTCCTTTAAATTGATGGCTTTTGTGACCAGGGTATACCTTGAGGCTCCATTCACACATGAGTGGAAACACGCTAAACATGAAAAGCAATGCGTTGCAATGTGCATTGTTCAGACTATTGCAGTGCCTGCACGGTACGAAACTACACATCCCACAAAATAGTCCAAGCGTGTTTTTATGGGCGGATTCTGCGCATTCCGGCTACAGTAATACAAATCTGCGTGTATGTTAACATTTGCGCGTTTTCTTACTGCGTGGAAAACACTACCACTTTGTGTGAACGGAACCTTAGGGGGTCCACCCATTCTTCATGTGAAACCTAATAGCTCTCTTATTTAGTTTATGTGAGAGAGTATAGAATGAATGAAATACACTTTCTGCTGTATTTTTCTGGTAAAAAGGTAATATCTTCTATTTTCTCTCAAACGTCAGCAGATTGTAAAGCTGGCCAAAGACATGAGCTGACAGATCACCTGATCTGACCATTTATAATCCTATGTCTATGACAGAAAATCTCGGGGGAAGAGGTGGGGAACCTGGGAGTCCCTAGGATGGGAATGAAGAATGTGTGGACCCCACAACATGTAGGGTCCATAGCTATTGTTGGTTCTTATGAGGCTTGCTTAAAATCCTGCTGCCTTTAATTGTGTAAATGTAATATGGCAAGTCATTTTAAAAACATTCTATCGAAAATAAAATAACCAACAAAAACAAACATTTTCTTTCTTTATAACCTATCATGCTCTAGACAGATAAATGCTGATTGGAGATCTGCTGCTATGATTATCGCATTAACAAGCCACCTAAGTGCGTGCTAATGATGTACATTATTTTGCACAGTGACAGTCAATGCTGCCTCTTTGTTTAATAGTAATTACAACAAACCTGACTTTTGTTTGTAAATCAACCTGTACTTTTTTGTTAGACTTTCTAATTAACCAGATCTAATGCAAGTTTATTACACACAAAACAAAGAACAGGTCAGAGCCAATAAAGACACATGTGCAGTGCTCACAGTACAAGCTAAATATACATTGTGGATGTAAAGCAGAGGAACAAATGCGTTATCTTGAATTGCTTGTTTTATCTGGAAACGTCACCCAATTCTAAGCATTTATTAAAGCCACTATTTGTTCATATACATATGGCCTACTTAAAGGAGAACTATGGGGTTAGGGCTTTTCCCCATAGTTCTCCTTAGGGTAACAGGAGGACACAAACTAGCGTCCCCCCGTCACCCTGAGCTCAGTATACCGCGAGCTACAGCTCGCAGTATACTGAGACACGCAGTAGCTCGCGGTATACTGAGACGCCACAGCTGAAGCAGATCCCGACAATTATGTCTGGATCCGCCCAGCTGCGTGTGTGACAGCTGGCTCTGCCTATGTAGATCTCCTATGTAATCTCAGCGGCTCTCTTGTTTGAAACGCTCGGTATGTGGTGGGAAAGGAGAGATTCTACTAATTTAACTGGTTGCATACTTGCAACAGTCGGGGAGCAGTGAACAAACAGGCCGCTGTAAAGGACAATTACAGGTGAAACTCGAATAATTAGAATATCGTGCAAAAGTAATTGCAGTAAGTGCTGCAAAAGGGGCCCAAACCAAGTACTGAGTACATATGCATGCTTGTACTTTTCAGAGGTCCGATATTGTTCTATGTACAATCCTTGTTTTATTGATTGCATGTAATATTCTACTTTTCTGAGGTTGTGGATTTGGGGTTCTTGGGGTTTTCATGAGCTGTAAGCCATAATCATCACAATTATGACAAATCACGGCTTGAATTATCTTGCTTTGCATGTAATGAGTCTATCTCATATATTAGTTTCACCTTTTAAGTTGCATTAGTGAAATAAATGAACTTTGCACGATATTCTAATTATTCGAGTTTCACCTGTATATTCTGTCTTCTTTCAGCAGTAAGTATGCTTTTAGACAAGTGACCCTGTACTAACAGGTTCAATACAATGTATTGTGCTATAATATGTATTTGTTTGGATTCATTCTTAATTATTTCAGCTAGAGAAGCACCTAGGAACACCACCCAACTATGTGACCTGTTAGGGTTCTATCAGTGGCATATTATCACACTTCTCATGACTGTGGTTTCTTTATACATGGTATCCAATGAGAAGGCAGGTGTTGGAATTGCACTGTTTTGTGACAAGCTTATAGGAAGCCTTTAATAACAGCCTTTGCTGATATCCTTTTGAAAATGCTAGCTACCTGACTGTTTTGCGGTCAGTCTGGTTTCAATAATTTCTGTTGCTGATCCCAAAAAAGTATGCTCATGAAAAGGTCACAGAAAAGTCAGAAGGCCTCATTTGGTTTCAGGTCACTGACTCAATGTATTGAAGCCAGGGGGCTCAGTATGTCAGCCAAACAACTAGCAGTTGCAGAATAAGAAGCCAACAAGGACAGCCTCCATCTTTCCCTCAGAAAAGGACATTTTAAAACACATTTTACAAATACTTAACGATAGGCACTTCTTAGCCTCATGTAGCTTTTCTAGTCCTTCTTTGAAGCCCAAAGCCAGTTTAGGAAGTGAAATTGAGTAAGCCGCTCAACATCTGAAAAATGTCTGCTGCCTGTCTGAGCTTGCTGATCCTCAGGCTTCAATATTTTAAAGCCACTGAATAGGAATTAGCCTTCTTATAGGGACTGCAGACTACAGTACATTTGTTTTAGGTTACTGACTTAAAGAACTGAAGCCAGCGGGTCAGAATTATAGCACAAGCCACTGGCATTTTCAGTTCGGAAATAATATTTTTTCTCACAACAGGTTTACTTTGAAGGACCTCTGCTTCGGAAAATGCTAGCCACCTATCTGTCTTTGGTTTTCATATCATAGATCTAGACAAGCATGTAGATTAGAAAGTCTTGATTAAGTCAGAGCATCAGATTTGCATACCTGTGTCAGGCCAGTAACTGAAAGTGTTACTGTTCCTGGGATTGCTAGAAGTTCTTTGAGCAGTGACAAATTGTTCTACCGCCTACACTGACTACCAATGCTAGGGGGGCAATTTTCCACTGACCACCAATATAAGGGGTCCTTTTTCCAGTGACCACTAATGTTAGGGGACACAATTTTGACTGTCTGCATTACTTTTATTATTATATAAACCTGATGGCTTCAAGAAAACTAACCTGTTGAAGTGCCTGCAATTACTTTCTGATATCTTTCACAGAGCACTGTGAGCCTCAAAACCCCAAATATGCAAATAGAAACAAATGCAAATGAGGTTTAATGTCGATAAATGCAAAGTAATGCACTTTGGAATTAAAAATAAACAAATGGGTTATACAATTATGGGTATGCCGCTAGAGAAGTCAGAAATGGAGAAGGATTTGGGGGTCATTGTAGACCACAAACTGAAAGGTAGTTTGCAGTGCCAGGCTGCTGTAAACAAAGCTAGCAGGGTCTTGTCCTGTATTAAAAAGGGGATGTATTGCAGGGACAAGTCTATAATTTTGCCACTTTATAGATCATTGGTTCGACCTCATCTGGAGTACGCGGTCCAGTTCTGGTCACCAGTACTAAGAAAAGATGTCCTTGAGTTGGAAAAAGTCCAGCGAAGGGCAACCAAACTAATTAGGGGTATGGAGGACCAGAGCTACGAGACAAGGCTACTAAATTTAAAAATGTTCACATTGGAGGTGAGGAGATTAAGGGGGGATATGATCTCCATGTACAAAATGTTCAATGGTGGTAGCAACATTAGCAATAAACTGTTTAAAATTAACTCCATTACAAAAACTAGAGGCCACCACCTAAAATTGGTGGAAAAAAAATTCCAGCACAAGGGGCGAAGGGGGTTCTTCACAGTAAGATCAGTTAGGGTCTGGAACTCACTGCCACAGGCGGTGATTTCAGCAAATAATGTGGAATTGTTCAAGAAACTTTTGGACGATTTCTTAAGGGACCGTAATATACAGGGGTACAGGTACTCCTAGAATGAGATCCTAATAGGTTGGACTTGATGGACTAATGTCTTTATTCAACCTCAAATACTATGTAACTATATGTAACATGTATCATCATCTGAAACTTCAGCTCTGTTTCGTAGCACTGACCACTAATGTCAGGGCTTATAATACAATAATACAGGACTTATATAGTGCCAAGAGTTAGCACAGTGCTTTACAATATAAAGGGAGATAGCACAGTTACAATGCAATTCAAGAAGAGACGGCTAGGAGGGGGCCCTGCTAATGAAAGCTTAAAATCTAAAAGAGAGGGGCAAGTGATGCAAAAGTCGATAACTGCGTTGGGATGGGTTGATGGAGAAAGTACAATTTTAGTTGATAGGTATTGGCAGGATAGTAGTATGTAGTAACATGTAGTTACATGCTGTAACGAAGAGTTCTACATAAGCATTCACATTGAGATTCATGAATACATTTACAGCATAAACCTCGATACGCATTTGCCTTTCTAACTGTAGCTCAAGTTCCGTGAATATGATCTCTAATATAGATTACATTACAAGCAGGTTGACGTGTTCTTGTTTTACTAGTAATTTAACAATCATTTCCTGCACCTAGACTGATAATAAACTATTTATTAACCTGAAGATCTGGAACACATTGTTTACACCATGAAATGTTCTATGATAGAGTTTTCTTTTTACTTGGAGACTATTAACACTGTAATTGCCTTTCATGAAACCTCCCACAGTGTTAAATTAGTAATACCTAATTCTAAATGTCTATTAGCAATCGCTAAATAAGTGAACTGTGGAACATCCATGGAAATGCAGGTGACATCCATAAAAATGCAAATTAATTCATCATGCCTGATACAATTATAACAAGCATAGCACAGTTCTCTAATAGCAAGACATTCACTAATACAGTACAAAAGGTGATGCAAATGTTATGCTTCAAGTCAGTGCTAGCTACCTGGATGTCTGTCATCTTTAGACAACGTTATAATAGTAAAATGCGTTCTAGAAAAATGCTCTTAATTATTAAGACCAACATGATGACTATACCATGTATCATGAGAACCTATAAAGTTACAGGCAAGGGGTTGCTGTTGGAGAGATACTTCATTGTCCTAAAAGGCCCATAGCCTGGAAAATTTTAACTCACTAGAATCAACATTGTTGTGTAAGCAATGAGTCAAGTGGTTTCTACAATCACTTTTAGTACCCAACAATGGTCAACAATGAGATGGGATATGGTCAATTTATGCCACATGTATTCTGGTAAGGTTAGCCTTCCTTCTGCAGACTTGGAAAAATAAGTACCAACTTCCTATCCTATGTATTTTAGTAGTGCAGTGAAGTTATATACTCTCAGTTCTTTCTTTTATAAATATTTATTACATTTGTACATCTTGTTTTGCAATGTTCTGAATGAATTTGTGTTGCAGGGAAAGGTAGTGGTTACTATGTTGGCATCCGCCGCAGAAAACTGAAAAAGCTGTTTTTGGTCTATTCCATGAATGAATGAGTAGGTGACTCCTCCTCATACGGCTCATGGTAAGTATGATTTCCATCCTCCAACTGCACTGCTATTGGTTGGTGGTCTAGTGGTACAGTCATAATATATTACTTTGATTTGTAAACTTGGGGCCCCCTATTGTTGTTTACATGAGGATTGTAGGAAGTTAAAATAAATCTTTCCTAAAAGAAATACAGGGTCTTTCATCTCCTTCTGAAACAAATGCTAGTTCTCTGGCTATTATGCTGACACTCGGCAGACACACATCAAATGACACATCAGAGGATAGAAGAGAAAAGTCCTTATTGGCATACTTGTTCTGAGTGAGTCACCTAATCTACTGAAGCATGAGGGGTCAACATTTCATCCAAGCAACTAACATTTGCAGAAAGAGAAGTCAGAAACAGCAGCCTCCATAGCAGTGAAAACAACACACAGCTCTCTAGCCCTCTCACAGTCTAACTCCATGGCTAACTAGTTTTCTCCAGATTGACACCTTGTTTCAACATGCATATGAATCCCACATTTATACAAGGGCTGGACAAGCACAGCTGAAGTCTCACTTGGGACCTCCCGCTCTACAAAATGGCTAATTTCTTGGTTATACATCAGAGTGGGAAGTCCCAGATGCAGCTTCTTTTGTACTTTTCCGGTGTAAACAAGTTCTTACGAACACTGGATTACATTTAGTACAGAAGTTTTTGTTCAATACAAATGGCAGCCTCCAAGTTTGTCTTTAGAATGGTTAATTACACATTTATTGGCAGATGGGGTGTCAATATGCACTGAAATATGTGATGCACCCCCCCATAAAGCTTAACAAATCCCTCAAAATTCAGTGGGGTTCCAAGTTAATTATAGCAATATGAGGCCAGTTCATTAACACCTTTTGCCCCAGGGGGTCTTATAAGAGATATGGGAATTTCACACAGACAGTAGACTTTATAATTAAAATAGTACATTTTACCCTTGAGTCCAGCTGCTGAAGGTAAGACCACAAGTATTCTATATTGGCGCCAAAGGGATGAACGTTGAGAAATGTTGATATGATACCTAAGAGCAGAAGAACATATGACATATTAAAATATAGGTAGACAACTGTACCCTACCGGATCTTGTAACCCGAAAATACACGACATTTGGTTTGTAAAATTATAGGAGGTGAGACTGCTTTAGAATATAATCTACTTTGTGGATGAATTGAAGTCACTAGGCTTCTCAGCTCCCCTGAAGTCCTGTCCTAATCTTATAAGTTGAATGATTTTGCTAAATTGTGCCGCACACAGACAAGAAACATTCTGCAGCCAGGTGACTGTGAAAAAAACAATGTGGAACAGTATTTTTTTCATTTCAGTCTGCCAGAAACTTATTAACCATCAATTTTATGCTTGATTTGCCAATACAAAATTGCAGCTACTGGAATAAGGCAATTATCATTTTTCTTAGCGTAGATGTTCCCTAGAGAAAATATTTTATATAGATGTGTCACGAAACACATTGACTTGAAGTTTCCCAATAATTACACCGTTCATAGTCATAAAAACTATTTAATTCCCATTACCGCTAAATGGTACTGTAAAAAAGTGTACGGTTCCCCCTTGATGTTGTTGCTTAGTTTTCAGTGAAATAAATCAACCAGAAGATTAAAAAAATGTCAGTAACAGAGAGCTTGTACATGGAAACAATTCTTTGTAATAAACCATAACGTCAATTAAAGCAGTATACTAGCCAAACAGCCGAATACAGGTGAAATGCACAGAGGTTAGCTTTCTTACCTACCAAACCAAAACTCTGTTTACCCATTTCTGTGATTCACATACTTATACCACACTACCTAGCCACACCATCACTTCCTTGCAACATTGCAGCTTTCTGTGTCATGTGCCTGCTAATAAAGTAAGAATTGCAGCTCTGAAGGGGCCAAAACTCTACTCATCTACATGGTCTACTTATCCTATAAGATACCTAAATACCATTCCCTCTAACAGGGTAGAGTCGACTGTCTATCCTTAGTATCACACTTACAAGATCTGATGTCAAAACCATACGGTTGTCAAAACCATACCATAAGGTTGAAGGCAGGGAGGCTGAAAGGAACACCGACGGCTACACACCATTTGATCTACAACAGAAGACTTAAAGAATAGGACAAACTGCAAGTGCACAGTACAGTATATTACCAACACAAAAGCATGCACTGAGCAGGTGCCAGACAGGGTCTGCATGATGTGTGACAGGTGGCCCTTTGCTGCCCCTGGCAGACATTGCTCTAGACCACTGTCTATGTAGGCTATGCCGAGATCTCGCACTGAAGATCCCAGTGCCTAAACAAATGTTGGACTGACAACACTGAGGAATGCTACAGAGCCTAAGTGACTCACAATAATTAACTTTTCTCTCTTAATTATGTGTTGAAAATACAAATATAGATTTCAGACAGCTATGCTAGCAGGATTTTAAAAATACAGCTATTGTAGTGAAGTTTTTTTTTTTAACTTTACCTGTAGTATTCATTTAAAGTAGTATTAAACTCTCAAACATTTTTCAATAATCCAGATAAATCAAGTATGCATTGCCCAGGACAGTATTTTTTTCCCCCCCAAACACTTACAGTCATCAGGTTTCTGAACAGTTGGGTCCAACTTGCCTTAGCTTCCCTAAGCTTCCTGTCCAATACATGATCACAAAGGACAGAGCAGTCTCCAGGAACTGTTCATTTACTGCTGCACAATGTGATCAATCCTGACACAATGTTGTGACAATCTGTATATTCTGACATAGTCTAGTCTTAGTTTTAGGCTAGTCTATCAGATTACCAAATGATCCCATTTCTTTCCTCTAATTTCAAAGTTAAAACGCAAACGGTGTGGATCAAAAATAGTGTCCCCCAACTACACATTCACGAGCCCAAACAATATTCAGTGGGCACTTGTAGTCAAATCCTCCGGTGGGCCTATTGCTCTTCAGTTCATTGTTGTCATATATGGATTTAAATTACTGAAACTGAGCCTTACTGAACACCAGCACATCACTTAGGCTTACTGTAAGATTTATCCTAACTCTGCACAATAAAAATGTATTCTTGAAAAAAAAAAAACTCTGCACAGTGCTATGCTATTTCAACATGGGTGAGATGGAACTGCTTATTAAACCCTATGAGGAGATGTCCACTATCCAGGGGACACAGGCATAGCTAATGAAAAACATTTTCTGAGGGTAATTTTTTTTTTCTTGTTAGAAAGGTTAAAAACCATTCTGTGTAACCAGCTTCAATTGAAAACAAGACAACAATTCTTCTTTTGTTGTGATAGTTTGTTCTCCGGTAATGGCTGATTTTCTAAGTAGATTTCATATTTCAGATGATATGATAAAGACTTGGATGTCTTTTACAATAATTTTTGTGTGTATACTAAACAATTAATTTGAACAATAGTATACATTGTGTGAGGACATATTTGTCCCATGGACACTGTATTTGTACAAATAACTGGACGAAAAGGACCATATATTAGTTTTTGGCAGGTAAAATACAGTTTAAGATTTAAAACAACAGACAAATAGTAAAACCATACAATTAGACAATCACAATTATAAATAATAAAGGTTGGCATTTATATTCTGTTCAATAAACATCAAACATACTAAGCTGTCATATTGAATAAGATATCTGATCCATGTGAACAGCATTAAAAACGTTATATACTTT